CAGCAACAATGACATCATTGTCCAGACTGGACAACAAAACCAGTGCAGATCAGATGACGGCAGCTCTGAGTTATGCTCTTGTCCCATAGGGAGACTTGTAGCTGTGTGTGTGCTCTGTGGTCTTGAAATGGGATTATAGTCACGTTTCAAGTCATTTTTTCAGTGTAATCTTGGATTGTTTAGACACAACCGCACAGTTTTTCAATTGATAACCATGAGCCCAGGATTGTACAAAGTGATACTTTGTTTTAATACAGGATGTTCATGTTGAATGTGTCTTCATTCTATCAGTCTGTTTTATTGGCCTTTATCTGCAGTTCATCTTTAGAATGGATGGAATTGATCCCTTTAAATGCAGATTGTTTGACCTGTCAATGCAAAAAAAAAAGTGCTATGTGCTCAGTCAAGTCAGTGTCATTTGAATGCGGTGAAATTGGTCTGATGAAGTTAGAGTATATAGGTCTTTATATAGGTCTTTTAGCTTAACAAAATTAATACTCGTCACATTTCTGCTGAGGGACTCACCTGCAGTATTTGACTCAGCCACCAGCAGACATAATTGAAAATTGAATTTTGACATTACAGGAAGTGCACCAACATAAACGAACATATATGTTTGTCCCTCCCCTGTCATACAGCGCATAGGAGCAGTTGATAATTTACCCTACTATACCAGACTTCACTGTAATGGAAGAAACGATAATGGAAAAAGCTCAACCCTGTGTAGATAATTTGGTGCTGTATCCTGAAAAACAAACAAACAAAATCCAAAAGACTGCAGAGTAATGAAAAACTGGACAGCGCTCCAATTGACTATTTATATATATATTTTTGTAATAAGTTTTTTTCTCAGTCACCTCCACATCTAGGAACTTGAGCAACCTTGGTACCTAAAAAGCACAAATCACTGGTTGTGTTACGCTGGTAAAACAAAATGCAGTATAAAAACTTGGGTTTGTGAACATAAGTGTTCCATCAGGAATCGTGATGAGAAGTTTTTGTTACCAGGCTATCAGTGCTTTTAAACACAGCCAGTGATTTGTGTTTTCTGAAGACGGGCATCTGCCAGAAATGTCCATACAATGTAAGAAGGAGAAGTATGTCATATCAGATGACTTGCTGACAACAGACGTAAGAGGAAAAACATACTTTGCATACTTGCCTAAGATTCAGCATTGCTTTACGTAAGGGCACAGACACACTAAGCTGATGTGAAAAAACTAGCAGTGACAAAAGCTGACCCCTGCATTGCCTCATGTCGGCTTTGTCTGGGCCTTTTGGGTTGAAAAAGTGGCACTTGAACACACCACGTAGACTACAGCCAACAGTCGAATAGCACATACGTTCTGGGCCTAAGTGACAGAAATAACTCGACTAGTGCCAACGGTTCAGGGCACACCCGGAAGAAGAGCCCCGACAGACGCTCACTGGCCACCCAATGATAGCTCATAGCCGGCCGTCTGCTTTGTATGTCTCTGCCCTAAGATTTTCAGTCCATGGAGCCACTTTTGCAAATGTCAAGGTTTGCTTCACACCATGGGTTCAGGGTCGCGCTTTGGATGTGAGGTGGGGGGAAAAAAAAAAAGCTATAAAAAGTGCCAAAGCAGTACATCAGATTCTGCTGAACACTGTCAATTTCAGGCCTTTCTCCTTGATGTGTTCTCATGTAAAATAATCTGTGAACACTTCAGTGTGCCCAAAAACTTCCTGCAGGAAAGTACAGGGGGCTGCTGTTTGTACTGTGTTCTTTTAAATTTTGCCATGTAGGCAGTAATGAGAAGCTCTCTGTTTATTGGCAAGGAGTATACACACACTGTGTGCGTTGTGGAAGAACAATAACAATATCACGTGTAGTCAGGATGCTTTTGTTGAGAAGTAAATGTGCCTTTGTTATCACAGTGCCAGCACTGTATCACCCTAGCAGTCTTGGTGCACCTAGCTGCCACTTGATATGGAGCTTATTAGCTATGTATGTCCCCTGAGACATATGCACATCAGTGTTGATGGGTCAGACAGTTTTTGTAGTGACCGTAGTGTAAACAAAGCAGCTTTGACAGCAGTGGGTGCACTCAGCTCTTGACCTGGCTGTCACCTGATCATGTCCATCATGTTTTGTGTCCCAGCATCTGTGGTAACAGGTCATACTGTATGTACTCCAGTCATCTGGAGACACTTGGCCTATGCAATATTATCCCATAATGAACCAGCAAATTTCTAGCTCTTTGTTGATAGCATCAATGAATCAACCTCAAACATGTCCAGTAATCCCAGGAGCAGACACACAGTCAGTGACGTGTAGTGGTGGCATATAGATCCATGGAGAGAGAGGAGAGGAGACAAACTCAAAGCATCATGGGTCCCCCAGCAGCTTAGGCCTATAGCAGCATAACGAAGGGAGGGCTCAGGGTCACCTGATCCAGACCTAACTATAAGCTTTATCAAAAAGGAAAGTCTTAAGTCTAATCTTAAAGGTAGAGAGAGTGTCCGCCTCCCGAACTGAGACTGGGAGCTGGTTCCATAGGAGAGGAGCTTGATAGCTAAAGGCTCTGCCTCCCATTCTACTTCTGTGGATTCTAGGAACCACAAGTAAACCTGCACTCTGAGAGCGAAGTGCTCTGTTAGGATGATAAGGCTTTATGAGGTCTTTAAGATACGATGGAGCCTTGTCATTAAGGGCTTTGTATGTTAGGAGAAAGATTTTAAATTCTATTCTGGATTTTACAAGGAGCCAGTGGAGAGAAGCTAATATGGGAGAGATATGATCTCTCTTGCTAGTTCCTGTCAGTACTCTGGCTGTAGCATTTTGGATTAACTGGAGGCTGTTTAGGAATGTACATGGGGTATTGTGATAGTAAAAGTTACAGTAGTCCAGCCTGGTTCAGACTATGTTAAGTATGGATTTACTTACATTGATGATAAAAATGGACATAAGCCTCAATGTGTGATATGCAGTGAAGTACTGGCACAAGAAAGTATGAAGCTGTCCAAGTTAAAACGCCATTTAGAAACAAAACACGCTGCGTACAAAGACAAACCAGTCGAATACTTTCAAAGACTACTTCGGGACCTCTGGACCACCCAGAAGACACTGCTGTCCTCGTGTTCCAAATCAGAGCAGGCAATACGGCCTCATACCTTGTAGCTCAACATATAGCAAAGGCCAAGAAGACACATACAATAGCAGAGGAGCTCATCTTACCTGCAGCATTGTTTTGTTGTTTCCTGATGCTGTTCTTCTTTTCTCTCTCGTCTATCCACTCACTCTCAACTGGTCAGTGCTGTTACCATGCGATGTTGAAGGGGGGACTTGTTGGGTTTTCTTTATAACACTAAGGTCTAGACCTGATTATGTCAAGTGCCCTGAGACTATTGTTGTAACTTGGTGCTATACAAATAAACTGAATATAATTGAAGCTGACATGCGTGTCCATGAGCATGCAATACCAGATGCATATTTACGTGTGCCAGTGGAGGAATAGCTTAAAATAACCTTCAGGCTTGATGACTCTCATTCCTTTTCTCAATGGCTGTACAATATGTTCTGTATGGTGTTGTCATTGTGTTGCTTGGGAAATAACTTGTGGTGCCTGGTGGTGGTGTGTGTGTGTGTGTGTGTGTGTGTGTGTGTGTGGCAATTGAGCCACCTGTGCCTTGCGGCCTCCTGCAGTGATATTACCTAAAATGGCATCAGGCCTCAAGGGAGACAAGGGAGAGAACGTGTCTTTATCTATCTTCTCCTGCTAGTTTTGTTTTTGTTAACGAAACTATTTACAATGTATCTGTCACCTTCTTATACCCCTTCTTCACCTTTTACCATATCTCACACCTTGATGAAGTGGGATACCATCTCTGTACTAGAGCCTGACTATTATATTGACTCAGTGATATTCCCAGGCAGTTAGCTTGTAGCTTAGCTGACATTATTGGTAATGATGTGAGGGTAAATTGAACTAGAAGATTCAGTCCAGATAGCTCAGTGCAGGTAGTGGATTGCAGAATGCACGCTAACTGGATAAAAGACTAGTTTCATTTTTGCTTTTGGAAAAGATACAGATTGCATCAACTTTAATTGGTTCAGAACATCAAGTGTATAAAATATCGATGCATGACAGCTCCCAGAAGTGATGTGACCATGACTGCATCGCCCCTGGTGGCTGGTTGCGGTATACATGGTATTATGGTATTGGTATTATACTTGTATAGTGCTTTTCTATGCATTGCAGGACACTGTAAGCGCTATTTGGCCATTCACCCATTCGCACTCCCAAGCACTCATGCAACATGCAACTCAGCCGACAGAATCGTTACTGTCCAGAAATATTTGCGGCTGTGGAAACGTGTGTTTATGTCAACAAGGAATGGTGCACAAATGCTGGGGTTGCATCCAGACACTGTTCTCCACTGGTGCTCAGTGACTTGAATGCTGTTGTCATTAAAGCAGCCTGCCTGCCCTGTGTGAAATTTTACTTTACAGTTGTTAGTTAATTTGTGTGTGTGTGTGTGTGTGTGTCTGTGTGTGTGTGTGTGTGTTCTTTTCTTTTTTGGAACATATTTTTTGTTTTGCATTTATTGCTAACATCTGTTGTATTTTTGTAAAAGAAACAACATTTTGTTTCCCTATATGTGTGAAATGCATATACATCTGGAAACATTGAACCTGAACCTGCATACTGTTGACAAATGCAGCATATTTAGATGGTTAACATAAATCCTTATGGTGTTGCTGTGAAAGTCTGTGTTCTGTGAAAAGGACAGTCCCTCATCAGAACTGCTTGATTGTTGGATGCTCAACTAATCCTTATTCAAGTACCACAAAACATCTCTAATTCTGGCTGCTCAGTCTGTCTAACTCTTTTTAGCATAATTATTTTGGAGAGCGAGCGATTTGAGTTAGGTGGGTGTATGGAGAGTTAGAAATAGAGAGAGTGTGAAGATAGTCACACAGATAAAAGCAGAGTGAGGAGCTTGGTGGGTGGAAGGGAGGGATCTACAGGCAGATGAAAGAGGGAGAGATCAAGTAAGAGACAAAAGGTGTAAGAGATGTAGCAGTGGCAACCAGGCAAGAGAAAGCAAAGTGAGAGAGAGCTATAAATTACTAGGAGCCCCCCCACACCCTGAGCTGAACCCTCCTGAGCAGAGATGTGCCAGGCTGCGTGATACCACAATGGTGATTTCCTCCCCAACAGCTCCCCAGCAGCCTTCGCCACGGAGCCCAGAGAGTGTAAGAGTGGGTTTTGCAGGAGCTGGAGCCTGTTGCCTGGATACCCCTGCTGTTGCCACGGCGGTGAAAAGCCAGGATTGAACTGTGTTTGCTGGCTGGTGCCGCTACCATGGGAAAAACACATCTGGCCGACTGTCTGGATAGCCCCCCTGATGCGCTTACTTGCTGGCTGACTCGCTGACATTGCACATATGAATAAGGAAGGAATCACTCTGATACGGGAGCTTTGAGGAAAGGAGGTGGGAGGGGGTGGCTATCACACTGCTTTGAAGAAATCTGTTTGGCAGAGAGGGACAGAAACCAGAAGGACTGACCACTGAGTTAAAGAGAAAAGGCAAAGGGAGAGCCTGGCACAGGAGAGCGGAGGAAGGGGAAGGCTGGGGGGGAGAAGTAACGAGTGGAGCTGGCTGGGTTAGTTCAGTGGGAGGGAGCAAAGCAGCAGCTACTGTAGCAGGCTGTGCGGAGCCATGCAGACCCATTCCTCTAGTCCACAGTCCAAAGCCTCCAGCTTTATCCTGAGTCAGTGATGTGTGCTGGCCTCCAAAATGGAAATCCACCGGTACGTATGTGTTGTCGGAGTCACTGCAGTGGGCTCTTATAATGTGTTTCTTTGTCAGCCTCTGACAAGTTTTGCTCTGGTTGTGCTCATTCTACAGGAACCATGTCTGTTTATATGGGTATTCATTTTTCATCAGTGAGTGGCAGTGGCCTCTCACTGATGAGTGCTGATGAGGCCTCTCATTGATCTTATGAATGTGTTTCTCTTCATAGAAACAGTTTAATTACCTTGTAACATAGACTGTGGCCTCATACATACTGTAGCTGGATGGTACAGACTTTCTACTCTCCTGGTTGATGTATCACATTATCACTTTTTAAATACAAGCTTGACCACACCTGCAGTGGAGCAGAGTCACTCCTACATCAGTTGTATTAATGGGTTAGTTATTGCAAACACTATGGAAACACACTGAACTATCATTTATGTTGATTTTAAAAGTTGAAACTGCATTTACATTGCTTGTTGAGAACAAATTTGTTCATAAAACCCACAGGAAAATACTGGCATTCGCCAATGTTTTCTTATCTAGGACTTGTTGTTGGGTAAAAACAGAAATTTACACACACTCAAGAGCACACTTACACACATTTGAGTGCTGACATCTGTGTGAAATAACTGGTTTTTTAGTTTTCGTCACTTCTACAGTTATATAACAGTCACAAGAAAATGTAATGCCACAGTCTTTAGACTTTCCTTGTAGCATTCCTGGATTTCTCAACTTCTCTTTTCCGTTTCTGTGTGAGGTGTGTGCACACGGCCCTGCAAGTCTCATGCCCTTTTATAGGCGTTGGCTGGGCTGTTAGCCTATGCTAATTAGGAATGACTGGCACATGCTTTCAGTTAATGAACACATGGGATTCATCCATGCAAGAACATGGGTGCGAACAATTTTGCGTTGTAAGAACACATTTATGAATCAGACCGAGACTTTTCTTAGGACTGTTAAGAACCTACGAAGAAAGAATTTAAGAAAACACTTAGGAAGCTAAATGAGACCCATTTTATTTTGGTGTTTTAAAATTATTAATGCAGAAAGTAAATAAGGACCAGTTGGTCTTTAATTTACATAAAATACAAAAAGAAAAAGGATGGTGTTAATGATATAATCTTTCACTTCCTGTCTGACTAATCCAAAAGCCAAGGCTCCAGTGAGCATTATTCAGTATGATCCCTTCTGGATCCAGCCAGATTTATAATAAACTTAATGCACTTAAAGTTACAAAGTCTAAAACGTGACAGTGTCATCATGGACAGTTAATCAGTCACAATTAGATAATAGTGGTATTCCCACAGAGCTCTTTAGTTCAGCCTGACTGTGGGTTGGATTGTTTATCAGTGCAGCAGCCTTGTTCTGTGGCAGGATCATACTGTATTTAAATGGAGGTTTTCTAGATTGTCGCTGAGACCAGATGCTCCTGTGAGCTGCCTTTGAAGGGTTTCTCTTCTTATGCACATACCTGTCTCCCTGGGGGTTTGGTTTAGGATTCTGCTAGCAGCCTCACTGTCTTCTGCATTTAACAGGCGTAACATAATGTTAAACAAGGAGACATTTTCTTGAAGGTATAGTCAGTGATTCTAGCAAAAGAATGTTTACATTTTGATCACTATGAACACAAATCCGAAGTCGGGAACTTGTAACCATGTCGCTCATACTTGATTAACGTGCATTACCACGGCAGCGATGCTAGTGACTGTGGAAAGAGCCGATGCCAAAGGAGACATGTCAGAATACTAGCAACTAGGGCACAACATGAGGCTAACCAGCTACAGACTCCACTTCTATTCTCTCACAACAGCCTCCAGCTGTTCTAGCTGAAGTCAGAACAACCACATGCATTTGCAAGCTAGCAATTTAGCTGAAAGTCCCAGGGACAGTTGATTTAGCAGACAGTCTAATGTGACACGGGTAATACCTAATTTGCTAATGTAACGTTACCACAAAGATTACCTGGTTACCATAATGATTTTCAGTGGCACATAGCAAATAACTGACACATCTGTCCAGCAGAAAAAGAGCAACCTCTGTGTCTGTCTTCATCCCTTTTAAATCTGAGAGCTCTTTACATCTTTGGAAAGCAGCATGTAGCTATATTTACATGTCTCCAACTTTGCCTGATTAGCATTATAGTCTTTCTCTTTTCTTTTTTTTTTTAAACCTTGTGGTTGTCTTTGTCCTCCTGGTTGTTTAGTTGTATGTAAACAATGTATGTAGTCAGATGGGCTTGTTGGAAGGGATTCCCACCCTGATCTCCAGGGGGTGGTCACGAAGATGCTGGTTACCATGGTGCTGAAAAGGGCAGAGTCACTGAAGACAATGAGAGAGGGAAACACCTGTGGATCCTTTCTCTGGGGAGCCACCTCTTCAGTCAGTTAATGGTTTCTGTGTGTGACTTAGTCAAAGCCTAATTGAATCTAAGAGGATTCTGTGTATTGAGCCAAACTACTCATTAAACAAGCCGGTTGCTTGAATAGGCCAGTCAATGGTCCAGGTAATTACTGGGAAATAGTTTTATACCATAATGACTGGCATTAATTGACTAGGAAACAATTAGGGTACAACAAAGCAGCACTGACATGTAGCAGTGATGTTAGGTTAGACCTTGTCAAATTACATGCTTTTAAAGGCCCTGTGTCTTAATTAAGGTTGTTGGACATGATTGATAAAGGTAACACCAGAACTATTTGTGTAATTAGTTAAATAAAATAGACCCCTGCACAACATGAACAGGTATATTGTGTGCTGTAACTATAGTGAATTTTCCCATTAAAGAGAGGTTTTCTGCAAACCCCTGGCTTTCCTGACACTGTCTCTGGCACCTTGAATCTTCACTATCTTCATCACACTTCCTCCTTGAGAAGGAAGACTGATCTTGGAAAACCACAGCAGCATAGAAGTCTGTTCCATTACTTGTGCGGATGAAGCATCCTGGCTCATGTCTGCAGCTGGTGATATTTAAGATAAACAACATGGTCCCTCAATCTGCAGTTTTATTCTGTCACCTGATTCTCAGCATTTTTTTGGCTGTTCCACAGGAGTTCAGATTAAGCAGATAACACTGTTAGCTATTCAGAACTGTGCTGGCTAAAGATTAAACTGGATAGTTTCACTGCAAAATTTGAATGAATGGAAAGGAAAGCTGACTGTAATAGTGATGCTTTCTGTATAGGCTAAAGTGACAGACATGCTTTGTGCATGTGTATGCTGACATGGACACGGGACGCGCATGCCTTCCTATTCATACTTCAAATTGAGGGTCTACTTGTTGTTTGCGTATGCTGACGGATTCCAGGCATTGTGGTACATGCTCAGTTGGGGCTTTGCTGTGTGGACTGTCCACACAGACTTTTGGCCTGCACGCAGACGTATGCATATAGTAGGTCCTTGTGGACATCGCTCAACCTCAGCGGACATGCAGATGCTCTGTGCCTGAATAGCATCTAATTCTTCATCTGGCCTAACATGTCTAACAATACATGAACCCAGGTGTACAGTAAATACACATAAGACATCCAAATAATCAAAGTGCTCTTATGGAAATGAATGTATTTTGCCAGACAGGATAATGTCATTCATATCACAGTTACAATATTTAGTGTTATCAGCCATAACAGTTCGTTACCTGCAGATAGTGTTATTTGACCACAGCCGGGGTTTGGTGCTGTGGCATGATGATGATTGAGATTTGTCACCTTCTTATCTGTGTAATGTGACTAGGACAGCAATGAACAATTATTTTCATTATTGATTAATCTGCTGATTATTTTCTCAATTAATTCCTTGTTTTCTCTATAAAATGTACGAAAACGGTGAAAAAAATCATGTAAAAGTTCCCACAGCCCAAGGTGGAAAGGAGTCACCGAGTGAAGACTTATCATAATAGTTACCTTATTTTTTGTTGACTAATTGATCGACTGGCCAACTGTCAACTATAGATGTGAAGTGTCTTGATATATACTATTTGTAATTGATCTCACCGGATTAGCAAGTGACAAATGTTTGTATTTGATGCAGGGTTTTTCTTCATTTGCAGAATTTACAGACCATTGTAGATGAGAGAAGATGTTATCTACAGTTCAGTGTTGACGGGTGTCAGCTTGGCTTTTCAGAGAGAACAGGCGCTCAGATTTATGTACTATCTGTACTCTTGTCTAAATGTAAACACAGTGAAGTCAGAGCTGGTCTGTAGCACATGTTAATGGCATGTGGCCCTGTAATGCACACCTTAAGATTTTTCTATTTCAGTGTTCTTTAATGAGCTCATTGATAACTGAATGTAGTAGGCAGCCATTTGTAGTCCTTGTTTTAATGTTGGGGAAGTTGTGAAACCCTTGGAGAATGTGACTGATAAAGTGCTGTACCAAATATAAATTACACCTCCTTATTCAATCGTGGTGAAGTTATTGGCCAGATGGTGACCTTTATTTGCAGGATTGGAGCCGAGAATCATCACTTCATTTTTATAAAGTCACCGTGGCTTTTCATCTGGCTTGAGGGCCTGTGTGTCTATCTGCCACACACACACACACACACACACACACACACACACACACACACACACACACACACACACACACACACACACACACACACACACACACACTATCTCTGTGGGCTGTGCTCGGTTATTTATAGCCACTGGTGATGACTCCTTTGTCACACTTCAGGTGTTTTTCCTGCTATCATGGTACACGCTGGTCCCCTCCTGCTCCGTCCCCTTCTCTCCCACCATGTGGTGGAGTGGATGACTCATGCTTGTGAGCGAATGGGAGTTTCTTGTGGCCGCATCATCATATCCTGGATGGATGTGTGTGTGTGTGTGTGTGTGTGTGTGTGTGTGTCAGCAAAGTAGAAAGTAGGTAACCTTCATACAGACAACCAAGCGTTTATAAATGAATGGTGAACAGGTAGGTACATGTGTACGCACCAGTACACATGTGAATTCCCATCAGCCCACCCCCCTTTTTTTTGTTTGTTTGTCTTTTCAGCAGTGCACAGA